ACACTAACCATCAAGTTTTGACGATTGTTCGTTAAAACTTCAGGGGCCGATTAACGCGTTAGCGTTAGAATTTTTCATTGTGCATGTAACGTGAGGTTCTGTTAGGAGCACTGTACAAAATAATCACGGTCGCTCATACGGAAATAACGGCGTCTCCGTACCTTCAAGGTCCTTGGGCTTCGTACTCTCTCTCCATAAGAGCCTGGGCACGGAGCCAGGGAACGGAACGCTACGGAAAAAGTCCTGTTAATTTAGATCCGGAAGTCTTCATCTTGAGTACGGAGTCTGTTACGGCGTTCCGTACCCCCTTCCCTATGCTAGCCCATGTGAAAATCGTTGGTACGGTGGCCAGGTACGGTAAATCCCCGAACCACTTTCGAAAATCACTCCCAAACAGGGGCCGGACCTGCTTGGCCTGCCGGCGGCGATGGTCGGGCCTGCGGCCCGACCATTTCTGCCACGCTATTTCCTGAAGAACATAATCAAATGATGTAACGGGCCGTCGTTCTTACAATTTGCCCCGTAGACACAAGGCATGTAACGGTAAAGCACCGCGACTACAACCCACCCTTCTGCTTAGAAAACGTTTTTTGGGGTGGGGGGGGGCGTAGTTTCTTTCCTCTTTTGCGGTTTTTGGCCTTCTTCTACAACTTATTGTTCACTACAGCAATTTTAAGCTCATTTTCGTCAAAAAATACCCTCCAGCGCCTAAACGGTTAGAGATAGGGCCAAACGGACGAAATTTTGGCCCGTAGGGCTCTACTTTGACGAGTTACCCCTTAGGACATCATAAAAAAAGTATTTATTTCTGACTTTTTTGACCTACCCCATTTTCTTTGATGCCCCCTTTTAGCCCTTTAGGGGTGGTTGCCAGGATTTGCCGTAGGCGTTTCGTTCTCTAGGAGTGGACCTTAAGATACCCTGAAAATTTCAAGTCTCTAGCACATCTAGTGGAACAGACAGACACACAGACAGACACACACGAGGTCGTTTGCATAAGCCCGCTGGATAGCTATTTAAAGCAGAAGGGCGGGCTAAAAAGGTATCTCAGATATTGAAATGCAGCTAGTGCGGAATAGATGAGGAATTCGGGGTGGAAAATATTTTGAAATCGGACAATATCTTCCGATAGCGCAATAACGCGTTCAAAGTTATGCATTAGAGCCATTGAACCTATTTCGGTTGTGATTTTTGTATCCCCGTCCTATACCGGCTTTAGAACAATCACGTAGGTAGGCACTAAAAGGTTAGATCTTCCTTAACAAAACGCTTTTTTTGTGTGTCCGTAACTCACTCGTTTCGGAGATATGGCAGTTTGAGCATGGTCGTGATTTTGACCCGAAATAGGGACATTATGAACCTATTTCGGATCAGCTTTGGATCAAGATGGTGATGTTGCCGTCTTGTAGACTGGCGGTAGTCGGCTCCAGAAGCAAACAAGATTTTGGTCCCCAGTCCACGGGTTCTTTGAATTAAAACCTGATCCGAAAAAAGCATGTGCACCTAATTCGGATCAAATGAAACTAATACTTAAGTGACTGACCAGCAACATACTATACGTCGTAGTAGTTAGTTATTAGAATAAGTGTCAAACGCGGCTACACGTCATATTCTCGACCAGCTGAAATGCCTATTGCGAGAGATAGAACTAAATCGACGTAAAATGTAGTGAAACTAGCAAATACACAGAAGAGCACGATGAATGTAAATGTTCAACTCGGCTGCACGGGGCGCTCAAGACGAAGCGCGGGCATTGTTTCTGGTAGAAAACAACAAGCCTTTTCACCAAAAACATTAAAACTGGTACATTTTAGCGAGGGAGCGAGTGTAGGTCTCATAGATCCGATTTAGGGGCTAGTCCGAAGGTTCTCTATGTGTGGTTCCGACTCGAAGATCAAGCCGCTCTGGAAACTGTGGTGTGAGACACTCTCGCACCATTTGGTGCGAGCCAAAATACCTCACACCAAATGATGCGAGGCAAACATACCTCACACCAAATGCTGCGAGATCCTCTGTGCCTCGCACAAATGAGTGTAGATTAGTTTGGTCTCGCACCATAATGATTCCCAGATGCTAACATTGTAATTAAGTTTGCGTGTAAAGAACCTAAAACATTTTGCATTCAAAGAACGCTAAATATTGCCGTCCCTTGTAGAATGCCAATCAATGACGTTCTTTTCCAATGAAAATATATGTAACACTTGTACGAGTCAAGGCTAAGTTTCAATATATACTGTATTGAAAATTTAAATAAA